TAAACATTTTTTGATGAAATATGCAGAATCGTGTAAATTTAATGCTGATCAATATAGATTACAATTCTAAATCTAGCCATTATTCGAATTAGATTTTTTAACGTTCGATGACTTTAATCTAGGTTGCTGACCTATAGTCTGAAACATCTTGAAGGAAAGGCAGAAAACTTCCAGATGTCGAAATAAACAGAAAAACGAATAACTTCGAATCCTGAGCGAGACTCGAACCCGCGTCTTACAATTTCCAGTCGCATACGTGTACCACTGAGCTATCGGGGTATAGTTGACTATATGGCTAAATCCCATTTATAATTCATACTCTTTTTTTGTTCCCTTGCGCTAACATGATTAATCGTTGACTGGTTATTACATGGAATTACTATATTCCAACAGTCTGGATAAAATTCACCAGAGATCGTTTTGAAGCTACAAAGCATCTTTGTTTAAATGGTTGATAAACAGCCTAGACATCAAGCAAAGCATTACTAATTGCCCTTGAATTTTCATAATTTCATTTCCTTCTGTTAGTAAAGCTCCAAATCAACCACGACAGCATCATCTCAGCATGAATGAAAATTCAAATGTCAAAACCTTTAAACAAAGAATTTCTTTGTTACATTTTTCATTACTTCCAGTCTAATGTTCCCATCCCATTCATCAACTTATTTCATAGAAAATGATGAATGAAGCAGATTTTACGATTCAGATGGCTGTAATAAAAGTGTACTGATCCAGTGAGCTATAAATTAAATTAACAGCACATAGATCCTGGTTGTCGAATGTAAGCACTAAATGGAGAGTGATGAATTGAATTTAATCTTATAATGGAAGGAATTTTGAATTTTTATATTCACACCGTTTTCACGTGTGAATCTATTGGTTTTGTTCAGATTGAAAAATCAGTTTTTCGCATTTTGTGAGAAAACGAAGCAAAATTGGTTTTAAAATGTGCAAGAAGAAAAGTTTGTGCCTGAAATTTTACATCATTTGCAAGGAACATATTTCAAATTGGTTGTGGCATTGCTGAGAAAATCGCAAAATACTCTTTCTGTAAGCAAACAAGCAAGCAAGCAAGCAAGCAAGATAATCAGCAAGAAATCTCAATAACGAGACATCGTAGAGACTTCTAGTTTTTTACATTTGATCCGTGCTGCTCTAAAGAAGAGCTGTATTGTTTTTGGGCAAGGTAGGAACAGCCGTTGCTTCAGAAAAAGCAAAAAACTTTCCTTTCTTACGAATTTTTCAAAAAAAAAAAGTTCACTGTAATTTTTATAAAATTAAACTATTGATGAAAAAAAATTTTAAAAACTTTTATAGAATGTTCGTTAAGCTTTAAATCTTCAAACTTATGCTGAGCGAAGCTCAGCTGACTAGCTAGCTTTATACCTTCAAACTTATGCTTGGCAAATCTTGGTCTATCCATAAGACTTTTGATGGTACGGTGTGAATATAATCCGCATTGGGTTTCTACCCGATACACTAGTTTGTGTAAGGTTTTTAAGGCTTTAGAGAGATTCGCTGTATACTTTCAGATTTTATGTCCATTCATGCCATTGAACCACATCAAATGTTATTCAGGACCTAAAAAATTTTACTGGAAGAATCGAATTAAAATTACAAAGAGCGTGAATCTTGATACTTACAATTAATAAGGTGAATCTTTGTCATTTTTAAGAGATTTCCTTTTTGTGAAAATTTAACCTACATCTTCACAAAAACAAGTTCAGAACAGAACACTAGTCATGATGTCTAGTTACTAAGTAGACGTGCAGTCTCCTTATTACTAATATTGCTGGATGTTCTTAACCATGTCTATTGTTTCACTCGAAAGAGTTGTGCCAATCGATCATAGAGCTACGTGGCAAGTAGATTTAACTATGCATCGACATCATTGAATTTATTTATGATTTCTTAAATATCAATGACCCAGACAAAGCAACTAATAATAAAGTATGTCTAACATCAACCCACATAGAGTAAAGCATCAACTAAATCAAACAAAAATCAATACTTAACCCACTCAGTCTGTTAGCCAGCATCATCCCATGAGAAATAAATGAAATTCATTCGTAATTATATAAATTTTTATTAAAATAAGAATCGATTACAATTAAGTTGGAATTCTTTTTAAACATAATTTCGTTACATGATGAAAGAGCTTTCATTTCATTTTTTTTTAAATTTATTTATTCTGAATTTAAATTTTTTCATTCTGATGCTCAAAAGAACATAAATCAACCGAAATAAGAAAATTAAAGTGAACGGAAACAAACAAAAAAGATGCAATTTTTCAGTTTATCGAAGAAGCTGGAAATATGCTTTATGTATAATTTAGTGTCTGTACTTGAGATTGATGCAGGATTGATCGGCAATTTCTTGAAAGATCCTTTTAATTCGAAAGAGGATTTAAAATCAAATCTTCTGGATCAAAAAATCAATTAAATCTTTCGAGATTAATTTTAATCCAGTGAAACTTCATTTTAATCGAGTAATCTTGAATCAAGCATCAAGTCCAGACGTATGTATGTATAAGAAAAATGTACATCAGCTTTAATTAATTGATATTCAATTAGTATATTTTCTCTTTTTTAATGCATATGAAAACTCAATTTAAAAGCTTAAGATAAGAGAAATAAAGTTTAATAATAAAAAAAACAATTGAAGCATATCCGCAGAGTTGGCATGCTTGCATCAAAAATCAATGAAATTCTCATTTGCATGCTGATGTCATTGGCCTAAATTTAGAAAAGAATTGTGATGGTTCTATAGCATCAAGCATGCTTGAGTCAGAACAATGCCAAACTCTCGATCCGAAATTAATTTAAAAGATTTTCTTTTTTTTATGAATAATTTTTCCCACCTCGTATTTATACATAAAGATAGCTGTGTGTATAATTGTGTATTATCTCCAAATTAATTTTTTTTAAACTATTGCAGAGCAGCATGAAAAATCATCATTTTCTTTCAGTTTTCACTTAGCTAAAGCATTATATTCATACTTCAATTACACATTTAATTATAATTTTTTTTTTAATTTCTTCATCTTCAGTTTATTATCATTCTTAATTTATGTCCAAAAAAAAATATAATAAAATAAAAAATATTAAAAAGTATATGAAAAAAAAGTCGCGCAAATAGAAAGACCTTTTTGTGTTTTAATTCTGATTTCATTTTGATAATGCCATTGAGTTTAACTAACCTTGCAATTTTTTTAAATTATTTTAAAAAGTGTTTTAAAAAATAACGAATTTTACAAATTCGAAACCTTATTTTTGCGAAATTTTTTCATTTCGTATAATTTTCAAATTCTTAAAACCGTTACCTACAAAATTAAGTCAACGGTTTTTAAAAATTTGAAAATTATACGAAAAACAAAATTTGTAAAAATGAGGATTCGAAGTTCTAAACCTCGTTATTTTGATAGACACTCATCCTAAGCATTCTTTCAATTTTTATATCATATCAAGGGAAGTTATTATGCCTTTTAAATTGATTTTGAACTGGTAATCAGAAACTGTAGATTGAAGTCAGAGCTAAGTGATGTCTAATAGAAGTTTGAGTTTGATGCAGATCTACTAAATCTTCAGTGTGATTCAAATCGACGATCAACAACTATAAATTTGGATATTTATTTGCTTTTGAAATTTGACTACAAACACGTTGTGTATCGGTGTCATTTCTGTATTCTTAAGCAACTTGGTTCAAATGAGAATTGAGCCTACATTCAAAGAAATATTGAATTCAAACTGTTGAATGAGACAAACAGCTATAGAGGCAGTTGAAATTATAATAGCTGTGCGTCTTGGATGTTGGTTTTGAATCTATGTCTCTCATTTGAAAAACTGGTTGATCCTGAATAGCTTGAGCTAGAAGTTAACTTAAACTTTATACGAAAAAGTCAACTTCGAGTCTGGCTTGAACTAAAATCAAACAGCATTGTTATCTAATGATTCTCGATAGGGGTCGTTCACTTATGACGTCCGAAATTAACGGTCATTTTTCAAAATAAGAACAATGGATTTCCAGGAATTTCTATTGTTCTATTCTCGTTGAACCCCCCCCCCCCCCCCCCCCCCCCTCTGGACGTCATAAGTGAACGGCCCCATATCTATATGATTCACATCTTTTCACTTTGAATAGATTGTTGTCAACATTTAGAATCACAAAATTCTACCATCCAGATCTTACAGCACCAACTACCAATTTCACAGTTCCTGATTACCAAAACAAAAAAACTTAATCTAAGGAATGTTTTTGAAGGAAATTTTTGATATTTTGTCACGTGACTGACTGTATCTCTGTTTACATTTTTAAATGGTCAAGGCCCAAAAAAAAATAATTGGAATGAAATTTTATCAGATAAAAACGTAAACACAGACGGCGTATAGATGATATATCATTGCATACTACAAGCTATTGACAAAAGTATCAAACTTGAGCCATCAAAATCACCCCTTAAAGACTAAGACAGAAACACAAAGTCATTTCCCATAAAAAAAAGTGAATGTAAATGTGAATTTTGTTGCTTTTTTTTTGTGTGTGTGTGTGTGTCACTTCCAGTTTTTCATAGATATAAGATTTATTCATAGAGAATTGGAGATAAATGATAAACGAAACTAAGGAACCTTAGTTTTTTTTTTCTTCGATTATTTTTAAATTAAACGTTTTTTCAACTTCTTCATCTTGTGTTTAAATAATAGCAATGTAATGGATATTATTTACTTAAACTTTATTCATTTTTTTATCATCAAAAAACACCGGAGGTGTCTCTTTCATATACTTAACGACAGCAATTTTTTTATTTTTTTTTCATATTTATTCTGTTTTTTAAAAGTGTAGTTTTTTGTTTCTGCAATGATTTTCATGCCTTAATCTGTGTTTTTTAATTTATCATTTTTTTTTGTTTTTTTGTTTCAATCTTTATCCCGAATATTATTTTATTGAAAATAATTAAAAGTAAGTTTAATTTTTTTTTGCAATTTAATCAAATGATGGTTGTTGGTAGATCAATACTTTTCTTTATCTTCATTTATCTCTCATTCGGATTACTTCACTTAACGATTAGCATTCTTCAGTTGATTTGAGAGCCAATCCAAGCCTTCATACAGACCATCTCCACTTGTAGCACATGTTGCTTGAATATACCAGCTTCGGTTTCTGCAAAATTCAAAATATTGTTAAATTCCAATCGTGTTGTTATGCTAGCTTCCACATTTTTGTTGCAAAATATACATTTGATGAGCAAAAAAGTGTGTAAGAGGCATGAGACATTGTATTTCAATTTACCGTAACGAATGAAGACCTAATTTATCTGTGATTTCGGCTGCATTCATAGCATTCGGCAAATCCTAAAAAAGATGAATATTTTAGAATTAATTACATTTTGATATGAAGAACAGCATGATTAATTTTGTCTGTATGATCTCCTTTATTACTTGACTAGGGGATGCTGCATGAAATGACAATGTCAACAGGACAGATTGCTCAAATATAAAGTAGGAATTGGGGAGGTCTCAAATTACAAAATTGACGATTATTACACAAATAAACAACTTAGTCGGTAAGTAAATAAGATTTTAAAACTTAATCTATGCCTTAAGATAAATTATATAATTATATAATACAAATCATATTTTGAAAATTCCAAGAAATGAAACCTCTCACTAGACACCATGTTTTGGTCGATGACGTCATTTAACAAAAATTGTTAAGAATTAACACTCAATGATCTGTATTATTAGTTTTTGTGATAGCTTTTCTTCAATAGTAGATAAAAATCTAATCCCAAAATTAAATAGTTGGTCTTTTGACATTATAAAAGTTTGCCTGCCACTGTTTAAGACCTTGATATTTTAATAGCCACGTCCATTGCTACTTTTTGATTTCACAACAATATAAAATTTCATAAAAGCCCAAAACAAAAATAATCATAGCCAGTCAACAAAATGTCTGAATTGATTCGGTTTCTAAACTATCACACCCACTTCTTAGAAATTTCAATGTTAAATGACAACATATAGGAATAGACATTTAAATATCTTGTTGACAAGAATAAATGACGCAAAAGCATAAATGGAGACAGTAATAAAGAAGCACAAGCACCTGTTCTTAGCAGGTCAAGTGCATGAGCAATAAATGTGTGAGGGCTTTAAATTTAGAGACTGTAAACAGCTGTTTATGCTTTCCAGACTCAAATACAGTTATGTATATGCGTTTAAATATGAAATTTCAAAGTCAGTACAAATAAATGTCTATTAAATTTTGCGAATGTCAAAAAATCACATTCACAAAGAAACAAAGCAGCCAGTCAAGACCCGTCCTTCAAAAATTTGAAAGAAGATAACATAGAAAAAAAATAATAATTCCATGTTTTGAAAGTTAATGTGTAGAGAATTGTCATCACTGATAAGTGCTAATAAACACATAATATAGTTGAAGTCAAAGGCATGAGATTTGATAGTTTATGGAATAATGAATGTATGTAAAGATTAACGAACCTGCTTATTAGCGAAAATTAGAAGAACTGCGTCTCTTAATTCATCTTCTGCCAACATCCTCATCAATTCTTCACGAGCTTCACCAACACGCTCACGATCATTGCTGTCAACCACGAAGATAAGCCCCTAGAAATAAATGAAATTAAATAGAAACAAATAATAATTAAATCACATAGATCACATATTTTGTATGGTTACGAAATCATCGAATACGTTGATGATGATGACGAAAATGAAACTTACTTGCGTATTTTGGAAATAATGTCTCCATAATGGGCGGATTTTGTCTTGACCACCGACATCTGAGAAAATACGATATTATAGTTAATATCCTATATAGCACATAAACAAAGAATTGATAATGCACTTAAAACTTACCCCAAACAGTGAATGAAATATTTTTGTATTCTACAGTTTCAACGTTGAAGCCAATAGTTGGAATTGTTGTAACAATTTCGCCTGCAAAAAGAGATTTTCGTATTTGGGTATTAAAGAGATGAAACTCGTAAAAAGTAAATAAGTTGAAATAATATTGTTAAGAAACGAAAATAATATATGAGTAAAAGAGTTTTAAGCAGCACAAAAAGTAAGTAAGTAGTAGGAAAAAGTAACAACTCACCTAATTTAAGCTTGTATAAAATTGTAGTTTTTCCAGCAGCATCGAGACCGACCATCTAGTTGATTCGTTCGAAAGAAGTTATGATTTAGGGATAAAGAACTAGATTAGATAAAATGCAGCTTAACTTACCAATATTCTCATCTCCTTTTTTCCAAATAAACCTTTGAACAAATTAGCAAATACGTTTCCCATCTTTCTTTATTTAATAAGTCTCTTCTCTTCTCGAACGAATGTATGTAAATTAATTTCACAGGTCACACAAAAATCTTCCTCAGAATAATATTCAGTTCCTCCTTATTTTAATTTTTTTATTATCTCTGCTTTCGACTGACTTTATTTTTTTTTCTGCCTTTAAACTTTCTCTAATTGTTTCTGTATTTATAATTTTAATTATGATGAAATCTGTAAATTAAAGTGATCTCAATTAGTTATAGTAATTTATGCTTATCACTTGTTTTATGAAATATATTATGTTAGAATACGCGCGACGCCATTGAACAAGAAATTTTTGTGGAAGTTCCATCAAAACGAAAAAAAAGAGAAATGAGGAAAAAATGACTCATCGGATTTAAAAGGAAATTCATCAAGAACAAAGAATTAAGCTATTAAAATTAATTCACTGGATCAGATATGATAGTTTGAGTGAGATCCGATCGAGAAAAGTGCACAAATATGTTGGAAATTTCAATTTTCCTTATTTTCACATGTTTTTTTTTCTTCATTCTTGGATCTTGTTCATCTATTAAAGCGATGAGTTGTCAAGCCTTAGTGTACATTTTTTACCAAATTTTCATTTCACTTTTTCACTATTAAATTCATACTTAATTAATGATTTTTCTCTTGCAATACCTGCACTTGATTTTATATTTCAGTATTTATACTGTCCTGAATTCTCAAATATCGAAATAATTTAACTAATTTTCACTTAAAATATACAAGAACCAAAAGCGGAGAATTTCAGTTCAATTAGATATAGTTGAAAGCCCCTCAAATCAAGGGTACTTAAATACACATTGATGACGTATTTTAAATTCAAATAATACGTTATTTTAGGTTCCAAATTTTTTTATTATTTTTATTACAATTAGATTTTTAATCGGCTTTTTAAGGACAAATCAAATATTGAACATTTTGGATCTCCTCATCTTCGCGGGATTTTCTATACTCTAAAACTCGATTTACTTCTTGGTTGGTGCTGAAAGTTCGGCAATTGCTCTAGCTTCCTCTATAAGTTTAAGAATAGTTTTGGTTATTTACTAATAATGCATTGTATACTGTTACTGGATTACCTTCGAGTGCTCTCTTTTTCTCTTCTCCAGCCTTAGCATCACGAATTGCCTTCTTTTCATTTTCAATCGCTCGGATACCGACTTCACGTTTAGCTAGTCGATTCTGATGATAGGCACCATATAAAACTCCGAGACCAAGGAATGACCAACGTCCAAACTAAAATGAAAGATGACAATTAATTATAGTGTATTGACAGTCGATAAAAGTGACTGGAATATTGATTAAAGCTTGTCCAATATTTTGTCTCTTTCCTCATTATTCAGTCTATGCGAATAAGTTACATCACATTTATTTACAATTTTTAACATGTAATTCAACTTACTCTGATCAATGGAGATACTCGCACGGCTGCTCCCAATTCAATAGCCATTTTTCACTGTCTTGGAATTACCTTTATTGTCTATTTAATACGAAAATTAAATTTTCCAGTGTTTTTCGACTGAAAAATTGTGAGCCGTTCAGTGAGGAAGTAAAATGCTATGAAAAATTTCCTCTACACTGAACAGTTTTCACCTTTTTTTCAAATTTCAAGTTTTTCGTAACCGTTACGATTAAAAAACGGTTATTTTACTGTCATGCTACCTGTTAATGCTGTGCACAAATACCTGATATAGACATAATATAATTTTTCACATCCATTAAATGCAAATTGCGAAATGTAAAACTATTCACTTTGAACTCAAAATGCATTTCTATGTCACTAATGTCATACATGTACAAATGTTAATAAAAGGTGAAGCACAATTTTGCAGTCGTTCAATGCACTTTCGTAAGCTGAGTAATATGATTTATAGAGAATTGCCAATCGAACGCACATTCTCTTTAATAATCTTTCCCTCGTTGTCTTGTCATTGCTGCTTACTTACTTAATTATATAATTGCATAAATGCCCATATTAATCATGTGTGCTGTAAATTATTAGATAGCATTAATTAAAGCATAAATTTTCGTCTTATTAAGTATATCATTTTCTTTATTAAATGACTTATTAACAAACAATTTGTTTTAACAAAATCTTTTGCCAATCATCATTGAAGGTGATTGAAGAAAGAAAGAAGCTTCTTTTTTATGAGGGAGATGTAGTAATAGAGATGAGAAATTGGATGGTGATTAAAGCTCTCATAAAGGCTGATTATGAAATAGCACCCGTTGATTTAAACAAATTAAATTGTTTAATGATGGTATGTGGCATAAGCTGCTCCGTATGCTGGGTATGCAGCCTTAACGATTGGTGATGCATAAGATGCGATTGGTGCATGATAAGCAGCTACTGGAGCAGCAACAACTGAAGCGCCATGATAAGCTGGGTATGAAGCGGCAACCTTGTATGTGTTTGCGTAGCTTGTGGCTAATGGAGCAGCATAGGCAGCTTTAACAATTGGGGCGGCAAGAGGTGCATGATAAGCAGCTCCGTATGGTGATGCGTATGGTGCAGCGTATGCAGCACTGTATGGGTATGCTGGGGCAATAGTTTTAGCTACGATTGGAGCGTGGTATGCAGCAGCAATTGGTGCATGATAGCTTGGATAGGCAGCAGCAATTGGTGCATGATAGGCAGCTCCATAAGGTGCAGCATAGGCGGCTCCATAAGCAGCTCCGTATGGGGCAATTGGTGCTACGATAGCGCTAGCACAGGCAACAAGAGCTGAGAGAACGAACTAGAATGGAAATAAAATTTTTATTAATTTATTGTTATCCTTACAAATTTGACAAGACTGTTTAAAAGATAGTTTTAAGCTTGATAGATGCTTGCTAAAACGAACTGATTAATGCCTTTGTTTCTTACCAAAGCGAACATTTTGATAAAAGTTTGTTTTTTACTGTAAGGTAAGCGAAGTGAATAGATGAGAAGTACACAGTTGAATGATTTTGGTATCAAATTGTCTTCATATTTAAACAAATTTGAAAAGTGCTCTGATATACATTTAGAAAAAAATGTACGACCAAGTTAGACGCATAATACACATGCACGTGTATGGAAAAGTGCATTAGATTCGCAAAAAGTAGGAGGAAAAAAACCCCTTCTTTAAGTTTAATTTAATTTAATATAATGTACTTTAATTATAGCTATTTGTATGCTATCAAAATTGTCATCACTGCAGTTCCATAATTGGATAATTGAGTCTTGAGCCTATAATTTTCGGTAAACTCATTGGGTTTCCAATTAAAAATTGTCAACGGTTAGAATTTATTTGAATTTTTAAGGGGCGATTTTTGAATTTTTTCAAATTATTCGTTTATAACTGTCATTTCGTTTATTTACATTCTAGTGAGAATTAATCTTTAATTAATTATCAGCTTAAATGAAGCAAGTTATAGACGAAATATCTCAAAAAAGTAAGTAACAAATGTCATTGTGTATTAAAACTTTCAAGAACATAATGAATCAATCATAGATAAATTGATAGAAAAGAAATTAAAGGTTTTTGGACTAGACAGCATAAAGGTTGATGGGAACTTTTGCGGAGAATCCAGTGAATGTAGGAAATTCCAACAGGAAATAGAATATAGCGACATAAGAAACAATGTATCGTGTATGGATAAAAACATTAAAAAGTTGTCGAAAGAGATTGAGCAGTATAAGAACTCAATTGCATCACTAAACCAGTAAGCGACGTACAAAAAAAATTCAATATTAAATCATTTCTCACGCACTTTTATTAATGCAATATTTATGGCAATGTACTTAATTTATTTAGGTGCTTAGGTGGTAGAGTGAATGTATCGGAAATGAAACAAGCAGCTATAAAACGTCAAATGTCTTTACAGGAGCTGAAAAATAAACAGGTGTGTAGAGCTGATGCATAAAATTAATAGAATTAAGTTGTAATTTTGTTTTAATTTATTTTAAATTTCTCCACAGATCGTGAATGATAGCACAATCCTTAATATCATACATAGACTTAAAGATTTAGAATAAAAAAGCTACATTTACAGTAATTAACAATTCTATTGATTGACAGCTTGTTGTGTCTCAATTTAGTATCCTAATAAATTATAGATCCATTCAAATGTGATCAAATTAAGGTGCTACAAATTGCTCATAACTTGATATAGTATAATTATTGTCTTGTTATTAATCTATCATCACAATTTCTATTCAAAATCAATTCACCATTCTAATCATCTCATTGCTAATCTCGGAAATTATGACGCTGATTCTTTACCTTTCGTAGCGAAGCATAGACTTCCAAAACCAGTTATGTTGTAAAATTATGCTACCTCTTTCTTTTTCTATTCTTTATATCTTCTTTAGGTTAAGTTAAACATATAGTACACTATAAACACTATCATCGTAACACCCAAAAAATCTGGATCTTTCACTATTCAACTTCAATAGAATCATTAGCTAAAATTACTCAGTATAAAATTCCTTAATTGATTATCTAACAGCTATAGTTCCATCACATAATCTCATCACAACAGCTTCTTGTAAGCAATACTTTTTATGATTATTACAATTAATTGTCATTTCTCCAACATGTGCACATTGCTATTTTTTCAAACTGTGCCTCACGAGTTCGTCCATTCCGTCCGTGTTGAATGCAACACAATAACGCATTGACTATTGTATAACAGAGAGCAGTACCAATCTATCAATATCTGTTGTGTATTGAAGAGGTGCATAGATGAAAATTTAACAGATAAGATTAATTAAGTATAATTTTCTGCCACTAGTAATAAATTATTGCATCAATCAGAGACATGAGGAATTCATAGAATTTCAAGTATGCCTTAATCACTTCATGTCTTATGAATTAAAAATAAAGCTATTTGTGTCACAAGCACAGACTAAGTGATTTTATAGTTCCTAATAACAAGGTTTCAATGATTTATCCATTCCTCGTATAACATCGATGGCAGTAGGCTGCTGATGACGCGGAAGGTACTTTTTCAACACGAATCGATAAGCCAGACATTCCTTTTATAAACATGTATTCTCGAGGTCTCCTTAATATACTTTTTGGTGTCTCACAGCTGGTCTTTTTACTATTTTCTTTTACTGAGAACTTTTTAAGAATTTTAATCACCGATAACAATGATTTATAGCGACTATGTTTCTTTTCCTTATTTTCCACAGAATTTTGTGACTTTGTATCTGTTTGATTCTGAAAACTCACTCGACTGCTTTTTACATCACTATAATTTCTATAGTCCACGTTAAGGTCTGATGATGAATCGAAATTTTTTCTGCACGTATTCCTCTTTAAACTTGATGATCTTTGTATGCAAGAATCGTCGAAAGATGTGATATCGAAATAGAGGTCTTCAATTGACTCTGAAGCAACAACACACGACGATGCTCTAGTCATTTTTGGTAATTCCACAAAAGTATCCATTTGGTAAAATTTATTGTCCATAATTATTGTTTGAATGCTGTTTCCTTATCACTTTCTGATTTAAAACTGACTGATATCGCTCAAATTTCACTACTTCTTATACTCTTTCTTGTCGTCGATGAATAGAATAGCAAAAAGACTCAGGAAACGTGATTCTACCTTACAATTTCTTCGAGTTTATTTTTATTGCTCCTAGAAATTTTCTGAACTTCGTGAAAAGGAAACGAAAGATGTAAATGCTCTCATATCCGAAGAGATTTCTAACCAGAGAGTAAAATGTGACTCAGAAAGATTTTTGAACTGGCATCTGATTACGCTGTTACACAATTTCTTCACGTTGTCGCTAAAAATTCCCCGTACTTATTGAAAAACAATAGAGCCGGTGCAAAGTTTTCTCTTTCACTCTAAGTTGTCGACTTCTGATATTTGAGGCCATAGAAGTTTGAGTTAGTGTTCCTGATGAAAAATTTATGGGTAATCTAATGATTTAACGTGATTTTTATAGCGTGACTTTTAATAAACTTCTTTGATAAATTTATAAAACTTTGATGACGTCTATAAAGGCGACAATTGCGTTTAGAGTATTTCAAGTCACGTTATTACATGGCCAGTGATAATTCTGTTGGCCCATATTCATCTAGAGTATTGCAAATCTTTTTGTCATGATTTCCTACATCATTTAAATATCAAACTTGAATCGCTCAAGTCAGATCAGTTTTCAAAATTTCAATTATGCGTAAAATAATACCTAAAGAAGTGGATGTCCTATAGTATTCAGTCTTTTGTTACTCTAAATATTAATATTGTTTTGGTTTAGTATAAATAGTAAGTGACGAACTGTCAACTATATATAGTTCACATTTGAATCTCAAATCATACAAAGCTTCTCAGTTTACAAAAACCTTAAAAAAAAGTCATCATGAAATTGGTAAGTTCATCACATATAAAAATCTATTCTTGATTCTAAAAATTCTTCTTAGATCATTTTTGCTTGCCTCATCGCTGTTGCTGCTGCCGGTAATTAATAACTTTATTTCTTTAATATGTCAGCTTAATTTATAAATCTTCTTAAAAATTATCATCTATTTAGGCTTTGTTCCATCAGCACCAATTGCTGCTTATTCATCACCATTGACTTATTCTGGATATTCTCCATTAGGCTACTCGAACTTCTACAACACTCCTACAGCATACAATGCTCCTTATTATCGCTCATCATATGGATATCAATCAGCTCCTTTGGCTTACTCAGCTTCTCCATACTATAGAAGCCCATCCTTCCGTTCATATCCATTCTATTAAGAATTTTAATTTTTTGCAATAACCTTTTTTGTTCTGTGCATTTAAATAAAGTATTTTTTGGATCCGTTTAAAGCTTTTGTGTATTAAAAAAATGTTAATTTGTGCTTTTGTGACGCTTACAATGTGGATTTTAATTAAGGCAATTGAACTTAACAAAGATCTTGTTTGGTTTTCAGTGAATAATAAGACATTCCATAATTCAGAAATTATATAAAGTTCGCTTATAGATTTTGAATCTGAAAATGCTGCATTGACTTTTGCATAATTGTTATGGTGGGATAACTTGAAAGGTCAAAAAAATTCTAGCTGCTCCCCACACACAAAGTAAGCATCCAATAACTCTGTGAAAATTGTTCTTCAATGCTTTCCACCTATGACTATGTATGTTAAAAGATTCAGAAAATTTGTTAATTCTAGATAATATTAAAGAATTGAAGAGCTTGTCATGCAAAAATTACTGCAGAGACAGACCTGAGTTCTAGTCATTCAATCATATTGAGATATATTTTTACAGCTCTATCGTCACAAACCAAACATTCTGAAATTCTTTAATTTTGTCTTTTTTCTTTACAAACAATTAAAACTTACTTTATATAATGTAGGATTCGTACCAAGAATAATCGTCATTAAATATTTTCTTTAAACAGTTGAAGCTGTTTGTTTTATAAGAACCAACTAGATGCATTCTGTGGAAATATAATAATTAATATCTGACCACATTTACATAAAATATTATAATGAAATTCTTAATGCAACGCAAATGTTTGATAACAAAAAAAAAATTGTGCAGGTCACAGAATTTTACATCGCAAATTGAGACTGAGTGTAAGCGTCATAGAGATGCATGAACATTTAATAAAATAAACGTGTAAAGTAAATTGTTGATCATACTTTTTTGCTTGCCAGCTATTGAAAAAGAATCAAGACGCACAGCAAGTGATGCATGCTTTAAGAAAGATTTTTATATATGAATAAAAAAATAAAAACAGAAATGAATATGAGTACTTATTCTAATTAATACGTTAAAGAACTATAATAGCTATTATTATTATTATTAATTTGTCGACGTTACCGTCCGGAAGAATTAGTATTTATACATGTATTACTATTTACATTGATTAGTGATACCTTTCATATCACTATGGGTGACGTAGAATCAAGCTTCTAATCTTCAAATCTAGGTTTCGATTAAATTCAGGCTCTCGTTTCAACCTTTTGTGGGCGTGACGTGATACATTTCAGGTCCGTTCTGACAATATTCCATTATAAGGTAATCTTGTAGCTCTCGTTCCTATTTCTCCCGCTACGCTTCAAGTTCCTGATCCGTTCCTTAATCCAACGTTGCCCGAAATTCCCAATTATGGCTTGATCTCGTACATTAAGCAGTCGAAGTATCTAAACTTCTGAAAAAGAACAAATTTGGAAACGGCTGGATTCGAACCGACGACCTTTGAGTTACCATACCAAACTTGAGTCAAAGGCACTTAACTGCATCAGCTATCAGGTGAAAGCACAAATTAATGAAATTCAGTTTGTTCACTTTTTAATTCTCGCTTAATCAATTTAGTCTCGTTTTGCAATTTATTTCTCCTAATAATTTGAAATTTATTTCCTTCTCGGACTCTGTTATGTCTAAAAATACAGTAAATATATCATTCAAACGTTTGGGTTGTAAATCATAAGCTTTAATTAAAAACTACAGTTAGTAAGTTCATAAAATTAGTCATTAAAACTGTTTCACGAATGAATATTAAGGCTGCAATTATGAGCGATTTTTTATGTACCATACAAAAAATTCACGGATTCGACATCACATCAAATTCTATATCCGCAAAGTAGGGGATGTTTAACTATGATGTTCAGCATTTACAGGTGTTTGAGGCATCTAGAGCTCTGACACACAAAGAATTAAATTAAATTTTGGAATAAGAGAAGATCAAAAAAATTTTCTAAGTTATTTTATGTCAGACATCAATTGTAAATGCTGTCCAAATGATTTGTTCTTGGAGTTTCCTAAAAATGAGCAATCAAGTTTAAGGTAAAGTAAGATTGAGTTTTTAGATTAATAAATCATTTAGCACCAAAACAAAAAGTGTCTGTTTAAAATGTCAAAAGATCATGTTTGGCTAGATCAAGTGACAATGGAATAAAACGACTGTATTTATATGCAAAATCCAAAATATTATTTCTTTATTTTTCACTATTTCATGTTCACACACCCATAACATTATTCTTTTCATTTGTACAGACGCAATTCAACTAGAAGTCATTGATGATGATTTTATCCATTTATCTCCAGTATGCGTATGGAGAATAAGCATAAGGAGCAGCAACGTATGGAGATGAAACATATGCAGATGATACATAAGGATGTGCGTAGTTTCCATGATAAGTGCTTTCTGATACATAGGCTGATGGAACAAATCCGGCGACGACTGGTGATGAATAAGCAACTACTCCAGGCTTGGCTTTTGGTTCCGGCTTTGGCTCAGCGAAGACAACAACGATAGCCATCAATACAATTGCGATCTGTTGGAAGTAATATGAGTAGATCAATTAGTATACTTAGAATTATTCTAATGGAGCTTGACTTACTTTCATGAACATTTTGAATAATTGTTTTTTTTTAAATGTTTTGAATTGAAGAAGCTTTAAAAACTGATGATTTGGATAGAAAATTTCAAACTATTTATACTCAAAAATGCTCGCATAGTGACTTGATAATAAAGTCATGATAATGAATTATAACAATCATATTCCCTACCAAACTAATTCAATATGCACTTCAAGGTCAAGAAAACTTTAATTCGATGAAGATTGGCAATTAATATTCAAATCAGAAAATTTCATTAACGCATAGTCGCGAGGAAATGTTTCGATTCAGTTAAGGTAGTCACACTGTAGAGTCTTTTAAAAAGCTAAAGTCAATGATCGTTTTGTTGATGTGAATATTTATGAATGTTGCTTGCATTACTTAAAAATATTCAATAATAATAGAAGCGTCTGATGACCACAATAATCCTCATACAATTTTCAGTGCATGTACTCAAAAACTTAATACGTTTATAACATATATTTCGGTCAATGTTAATGTCTTTCAAAATATGCAGTTTGATGCCACATATGAAAGGAAATTTTTTTGGCAAGTGAACAAAAATCGTGGATGGAATCCTTAAAATCAATTAGTGAAGATATTGAAATTTTTTGCAGTCATGTTGTCATCAATGAGAATCACGTTATGTAACGTAGAAGGGGATCTGACACTTTGCAATTAAGGACAATTAAAAACAAAAATTCGTATAAATAGTAGAACTTTTCGGACAGACATCATCATTCAGTTGACATTTGTGGATTGTGTAAAGGAAACAAAACATAACAAAAACTTTTAAAAATGTTCAAATTCGTAAGTTTAGTGCATCCATAAAGTTATCCAACAAAGTTTTAAAATCTCTTTCTTTTTAGATGTCATTCTTCTTATTCGCCGTAATCTTCGCTATGGCTTATGCTAAACCAACCGTCTACTATTCACCATACACAGCCGAAGTAGTTGGATCACCAGTGTTGTCCACAAGTTCTCAATACGTTGCCAGAAATTACAATGGATATGCAAGTTATGTTGCAGAAGCACCAGTCGTTTCATCACTTCCATATACATCACTAGGATACCCATATGCATCGTATGTACTTTAAGTAGATCAAACATACACAAGGCTCTAAAACGTGAACTATTTTGCATGGCATGAAATAACACGACGAAAAAATAAAATAAAGTGCAATTTTTTTCCTTTTTAAAAAAGAATCAGCGGTCTATTTTTATTGATTTCCAGCAGTGTTTAAACCATTTGTTCATGACAATCGATTGCTTCTGTTTTAAGAAGATGATATAATGCAAAAAAAAAGATAATTTTATGCATGAAACCTAAAAATTTTGAAATTGTTGTGTATGAAAAACGTGACATGCAATTATTGTTGGTGCATGAAAGGTGGCGGCAATGCTACCCAAAATAATCGATTTTAGTGTTTGTACCTTTGTAATCAGGAAAGTGTATAAAAGAAATGAAAATTAAGTTAATGTCATTCAAACCGTTATTTCCACTTTACCAGTGAAGAGCATCAAAAATTAATTAAATTAAATCCAAAATGATGAAAGTAAGTTATTCAGTAATAGCCGAAAGTTCTAAAATTTCATATCATTTCCATTTCCAGTTGATCGTATTTGTTTTCGCAGCTATCGTTTACACCAACGCAAGTCATGTTCATCTTGCAGCTCCAGCAGTTGTCACAGCACAAAGTTCACAAGTCATAGCTAGAAATTACAATGGAATTGTGACGCCAGCAGTCGTTCCAGTTGTACCAAAGGTCTTTACACCATTTTTACCAACAAGAGTCTATCCATCATATTATCCACACGTACATCATTTCTCACCATCACATTTTCATTATCCATACCTAGGGAGACCTGTGTATTACTATTAAGAATTTACTGTTCAGTAGATCATTACTCTTGTTACCTTAAGAAATCTTACCAAGAACTGAATTGCAAACGATTAAAAGAGCATTAACTTGAAAATAAAAAAGAATTTAATTCATTATGAGAAGAAAATAAACGTGACTATTTTAAACTCTTTTCATACCTTCATGTGATTTATAGTGAATACGTCATGAACATTTAAAAACGCCCAAAGAATTTTTTTAAGGATTCTATTTTACGATAGTTGGGAATTTTTAACTTTTGATTCACGTTTGTGCATTCGAAACTTACTTTTGCACATTTGGAAGTTAATTTACGATCACATTTCATATTATTGTTTTGGAACTACTAGTAGTTTACGCAAAATTCATCTTAAAATTGTGCAACAGTGTTACTAAACCTTTAATTATGTACGCTAGCTCAGTGTGTAGCTCATAATCTTCACTAAGCAGTTGTGCGTCCAGCAGCCAATCAAAAACTGTTTTTAGATCTTAAAACTAGTGTTCATGTTGGCTCTCGTTCCAATTTTCAGTAGGTCACAATGTCTCCAGGCCCGTTCCAGTAAAAGCTCTCCATGTTGAATTTACTGCTCTCGTAGCTTTTTCTACCCGTTCCTACATCTCACATCGCATAATTCTCAGTTTTACGTCTTAAAAAAAATCATGATAAGTTTTCTTAAAAAACATTTGAAAATCCAGGAAGAACTTTGAAATGAAGGAGCATGATGGATTTTCTGAGTCCTAAGTTAAATCAACATTATATTGAATTTTGATCTCTTTTTTGCTGAATTTGACTTCACTGTCCTTAAATTCAACAGCATAAATTGCATGAAACTATAGTTTTGAAAGTAACTTATAAAACTACAAGTCATAGAAAGTTGTACAATCACATTTATTTAGGGTATTTAATTTTGTACTACATAGTGTTAAATGTAGTAAACATATTGATTGTATGCCTTGATAAACTCTAAATATTGTTTTCATTAAAAACCTTGAGGAATCAGTTTTTATATTTTATTTATAAAATAAAGTTCTATTTTTTCCCAGTTGATTCAGCTTAGTGGGAATTTATTGCCAACACAATTCTGACTCTCAGCAAGACATCTTCCCACAGACAAAAATTAACTGTTACAAATGCAGGAGCTATTTCGAGTATTGTTGATGATGCTTAATATATTTTTATCATCCCTATCTCATAACATTGATGATGGGATGTCACGTGCATTATCCGACATAATTGAAGAGTTCTACGTTAAAAACAACATAACATTTGACATAATAATTTATGGAAATCAAACAAATGAGATTCGTGATGTCATCGATGGCTTGTTGAATTACATTGATCATAATTAACAAGCAATGAGTTATGAAAGAAATTATATCTTAAAAGGAAGTTTTTGATTTCACTGATGATTGTGTGACTGTAAATAGAGACTTACAGCCATGTTAAGTGCACAGCCAAAGTTTTATTCAAATGGCGATTATACCTTGAAAATTAATAGCTACACATTTTTGCTACACATTATAAAAGTTTGAAAGTCTTACAAATTCTTGGAAAATGGAATGACATTGATTGGAATGTGCATTGTAAATTGATTTGACCCTTTCAAAAAAAAATTATTATTATTAACTGGAATATGATAAAATGGAATTTATATTCTTAGTTGAGAATTCCAAATTAAAGTCGTGATAAAAGTTTTTGCTTGAAATGCTTTTTTTAAAGTATGCAAAATTTGTGTCAAAAATAGCAACTTTCTAAAATTCAATTGGATTAAATTATCGATCCATAAGCCAACAGAATTAAATAAATTTAAATGCCAGCAGCTTATTTTATTGTTTATGGACAGAAAACCTTCAGAATGTGTTTGCGATTTTCTTGTCTCATAAAATAGAAGTGTTGCAGGTTTATGCATCCAAAATAATTGATCAGATTGTCATCCTTTTTTAACCTCCATTAACCACTCTATTTGGGAAACAATTCATTTTTAAACAGATTTATTAAATCCGTCTTAAAACTGGGATCTGATTACTTTCTAAGGTCTTATGGTCAACATAACAAACAGTAGCATACACTCAAAATTACAATTTTAACCTATTTCTTGTATTTCATTTAACCTATTGATCCGGCTTACAAATCGACAATGGATTGGATTGACACAATCTAAAATCTGACTGGTTTTTAAAAGATTTGACAAGCAATAAGGAAATAAATCGGAAATATACCGAAAATGGACACAAAACTTTGACTTAGACAAGATCTAAACAAAATAATAAATTCATTTGCATTGACCAAGTTCAATGATTTCAATCTGAAGTGCGAGTAATTTGCGTTAAACATAATAATCCGTACTAATATAATAATATAAAATATTTTTCCTCCTTTACAGCTATTAAACAAGTTCAATAAAAATAAATTGTATGAAATTGGATACTAATTACATTTATGAGATGATCACATTTAATCGCAATTGACAAATCAATAGTGAACTTGCATGAATTAAATAATTTTAAAAGCTCTATATTGTTTGTTATGTGTTTAATATTCGTGCGCATTCGCTGTTATAAAGTATGGCTTGATTCTTTGTTTGTCTACCTGATTGTTTGACAAAAGATTCTGTGCACAATTTGGCACAATAACTCATAATATATAAAACAACGTCTGCATTTGAGGATGTCAACCTGAAAGTACCTTCAACATTTAAAGATATTTTTAACCTCTTTTGTTTAATAAAATGCGCCTTATGCACTCTTTTGTGACCAATTACCTCCGTACGAATTATTTTTATTGATTATTGCATCATTTGATGATGCTGTTGTGCTTGTGTCAATTTGTTGATGTTCATTAAAAATCTTAACGGCATTTATTGTATATATCAATTGCACATTAAATTCGTGCTACGCAGCTCGATGAATACGAATCGTAAATTCTTATAATTTATGAATGAATTTTTTTTTGATTTTTCCTTCATAATAATGCATGCGTATGCATTAGTATGCAGAAGATGATTTTCATGTAATATTTTGTTGTGCCATCGATTAATAACAACTAAAATCAAGGGAAAATGCTGGGGGAAAATTAAGTTTTTTGAATTTTAGTATAAAAACAATCAGAAGTTTGTTAAATGCTATCAAATTCAATTTGCAAATTGAAAAATCATCAGCTCATCTTCTCTAGTTGAATATTTAAAAAAAATCCTTTACAAAATGTATAAATTTGTGGTAAGTGTAAAGTGACAAAATTTTCTAGTGTTCTTAGAAATTCTAACCTTAAAAAATCTTAATTCATAAAACAGATCCTCGCCTTCTTCGCCGTCATTGCCGTTGCCAACTGTGGAATCTACTCAGCTGCTTATGTTGCTCCATATGCCACTTCATACAATGCTCACACCATCAACCACGCTGTAGCTGCCCCACTTATTGCTCCTTCAGCAAAGATTGTTGCCGCATCACCTTACACCTATCCATATGCCAGCTACCCATACGCTAGCTACTCTTATCCATACTATTACAAGTAAACATCCATGCTCAAGATTTATAGCCACAAGTAGCACATGCTGCGAGAACTTATAAGATCATATATCTCACTTGGACGTAATGTTAGAAAACTGTTGACATTTTCACTTTTTATTGAATTATGAGTTACAATTAAAGCAGAACATGAAATATTATGAGATGAGAATCAAGAGATAAATAATAAAAAAAAATTGAACATTAAACATGAATTAGCAAAGTATCAATTTACTGAATTATGGTTTTACATTCATTACCCGGAGTATAGCAATCCAAACCAATAATTTTATAAAACCGCGTGATGATTGAAACTCATTGAAACCATAAAATCAGTTTTCGGACTTAATTAGTGATTGATTTCAAGTGTATTATAATTTTAGCTATGAAATGTAATTAACCAGCCCTTTGCTGTTGCTATAATTTTCATTACAGTTTTTTTTTTGAATTTAAATTCAACAAAATATTTCTAATTAAGGAAAAATTGATTTTGTGCGGGTTCCAACAACAAATCAATTACCAATTAAGATGGATCAATGGTGAGATAATTATTGAACATTTGTGATTAATCAACTCAGTCTTGGGGAAAATCCATGTATGTACAGATGTAAAGTAAATGTCACTTGAAATTCAATGGAATTAACTGTTCGTAGATGTTGAATTGTGTTGGAAAAATTAGAAACATTGAAGTTTCAAGGAATTTTCTATAAGTCAATCGATATTTTGATCAAGAAACATTGTCCTCAAGAGTCTTTGCAGTTCAATATATTCTATAGGTATATGAAATTAAAGAATCATTCTTAAACTCTTTCAGCGTCAGTCTAACAATACATTGTGCTACAAGAATCCAATCATTGTTCAAATTCAAAGGTGAATGTTGAAATACAAAAAAGTTTAATAATTACTAAACTGAAGTGTCTGTGTTGAATTGTTCATAGCAACTAAAACTGAAAATCAGTTATTTGCTTGATACTTCATTTTGCTATTACTTGATCTAAAATTAACATATTCGCATTGACTTGGTAAATTATTGATTAACTACATATTTCAGGATTAAGATCTTTCAAACAAAAAAAGGATTTTGTTCTCAATTCAAAAATGATTTATTTTATTGCTGAATTGTCAGCAACAACGACCACTATTATTATCTTAGAGCGAAGCTAGATTGTTTTTCGATCTAGAGGTTCTTAGTTTCTGGCTTTTTTAGTGTGCAAAATTATCGCGTTGGTTTGAAGTCTCTTAAAGTTCTAGCGAACTCAAAAAGATTAAAAATCATAATCTCCTTTCCTGAAAACTGCTCTGGTTGCATCAAACTGAACGAAATCATTTAAAATATCAGCACCTGTTGATTGATATTAATCAATACAACCGTAAATTAGTTCAATATTCATGAATCACAGTCGCTATGATCATTAAATTGATTTGCATATTAATGATGAATTTGTGATTTTAATTTGAGTAAACTGTAGATGAATATTGATATGAATGAGAAAAAAAATGCATTATTAGAGAACGTCGTTGAGCAAAATGTGAAATTTTATGCATTGTTCACAGCAATTAAAGTTGGTCTAGTTCAATTTTGACATGCTGAATTTTCTTAAATATTTGACAAATGTGCCAAAAATGAGCATTAATTTGAGAAAATTAGACATGGCAATCGAATAAGAAGTGGTGACAATGATTAATTGAAATTGAAAAAGCTACCAATATGCCCGTCAGACATGCATTGCAGCACAATTATGATTGAATTTAAGTCACTATTCTTGCACGCTTATTTTCAATTAAAAATTCAAATGATCTTAACTTAACAAACATTGTGAAATTGCAAAAAAAATGCCAAGTAAGTTCCAAATTGCTTTGAAAAGTATCTCACGAAAGAGATTAACCTCGCGGCATTTGAATTGAAAGTAAAAATGAAATTTTCCAATTATTGCATTCTTTATAATTTTTCTTATATTTTTAATAGCAAGAAGGAAATATATGTGTGCATATCAACGGCTCCAATGATGTAATTTATAACCTAAATAGAATCAAGTTTAAAAAAAGTTTCTTAAAAACTTCTTAAAAAGTTGTGTCCATAAGTGCAACGAAGGCAGTATTAACATGAGCGAGAAAAAAGTAAGTTCAAAGAAAGTAAAAAAAAAGACATAACGCAATGGATTTACTTGCAGTCGCTTGTTTACCCACCAACAATCCTATTTATGTTGTCTCTAATGCTTTTGTGCACGAGGTAATGCTGAAGGTATGACGAAATCTACTAAACTTGAGACACACAAATATTATTGCATGCAATGATAAACTCATTTTTTCTTAAAAAAATAATAAATAAATAAAAGGTTGCACTTACCTAGAGACAGTGAGCGAGCAGCGAGAGTATACTTGTGAGGCTATTGCTATACTTTTATTATTATTATTTTTTGAAAGGTACTACATTGCATTAATATGCTAAATCCAGCATGATCAACATAAATAATAAGCGGCATTAAGGTTATCTCATACGAATTCTAATGAATGAAAAAATATTGACTGAAACACTGCTGCGAGCTGCATATTTGCGATTCTACAAAGTTGCGAGATGTAATTTGATTGATTTGTATGCTTCTATGCAGGGTTGTTTTACAGACGGTTCGTCAGTTTCAATTTTTATTTATTTTTGCAGTTTGACGATACCAAAAGTTTGATTTATGCTTTATGAATAGCATTTCCTTGAAAAATATTGCTTGATCAAATAAACCTCACAGCCAGCAACACTGATCTATCAACTGCAAATCATCAAAAAGCTTTTCAATCGAGTCCACCCAAAAACGACAGTATAGGCTGTCTTAAACGACAGCAAATCACAAAGAAGAAAGAAAATATGGAACAGCTGTCTACAACATTTGTAACTCGCATGTTTTTATTTTTTATTATTGAACTCTTCTCATATTCGAGATCTCGAGATGTCGAAACACGAACATTTTGTCGCATTTGATTTATTTGTTGATGCTCTTGAACCTGCGTTGTGTTTCTTATTCAATTCATTGCAGAAATATTCAACAGAGATGTCATGAAAAGTATGCGAACAACTTTGCTGATTTTTTTTTCTTTTTCTCTTTTTCGTATGATCTACGCAGCAATAGCAAGCAGTCAGTGGCGGTCACTATTAGTGAAACAATTTTAAATGCATTGCAACGTGCAGCCCGGCAACTAGATGAATAAATAAAATGATCATATATGTGAATCTCTCATTTAAGTAATGATTTCACGTTGCGATTTTTAAAGAAGGTAATTTGCTAATTATAGATTGCCAATTATGATGCGATAATACAATTAAAAATCTTTAAGATATGATGGTTTCCTATTGAAATCTCTGCAGTATAAAGCTGATTGGCTGTTTTGGTCAATTTTAATTGCAACTCTTGCATTTCCGAAAGTTTGCATTTTCTGGATATACAGAAGCTCATTTTGACTCTTATCAACTAAGATACCTCTGAATCACTTTGACCAAAAGCAGCATATAATTCAAATATGAGAAAGAGACATGTTACCCTATAAAGTCTAGAACTCATGATCGATAATGGTGTTGCAGTATTCAGGACAAGACTATGATGCAATACTGAACCAATTAACCTCCAGGAACAAACTATTAAGGGGCTGTTCACTTATTACGTAACGCGAAAAAATGACTTCTTAGACCCCCCCCCCCCTCGTAACAAAATTTGTATGAAAAAAAAATTTCCTTGTTTGAACCGTAACAAAATCTTAGACCCCCCTCCCCCTAAAAGCGTTACGTAATAAGTGAATGGCCCCTATAGTAGCTATTTATTTTAAAATTCACTTTGCATGCAATGATTAGCTTCGTGACTATCATAAAGTCACACCTCCTTGATCGAAATGTATCACTTTCAAATAGTTTATTTGTTCATCAGAAGACACATCGGGAATACGATTAAAAAGAGAAATACAAAAAAACTGCATTGAAATGTGTCTTCAACTCATATTGCACAATAAGTTTTCAATGTTACGAAAAAAAATATTTTATAGCGACAATTTTACAATTGAAATATTGGTCAATAAAAATGCGAATCTGTCTGTTTCGATACATGTAGTTATTGAAGTTAGTAGCCGCAAAATATGAAATTAGATTCAATTTATTAATCATATATTATTTTATTTTAAATTCACCTTAAATTGTTGTATTAATTCTGAGAAACATTGAGCTAATTGGAAAATTAGGCTGCTTACCTTTTGGGAATGAAGCGATCTTAAATTTTCAATCTCAATTATTCGAGAACTGAAAAACATAAATAACATGAATATTATGACTCATATACAATGCCTTAATGGTTATATCGTAAAAGTGCATAACAATTTTTCTCTCACATTTTACTTCATAAGTATCTTTGCATTTTTTATTATATATTTTTCTCTTTATTTAATTTTATTCATTTATTGTATTTCACTTTTTTTTATGTCGGCCTAGTTTCTGTCTCTCTCTGTCTGTCGCGCGATAGTCCACTCGTTTTTTTTTGCTGTAATTCATCCATACATAGTATATTTAATATATATTACGAATAATTCAAAATTCACAGCGTATGCAACGTGTAAATGCATGATGTTGCAAATAAATAAGTAAATATCAATTTAGTTAATGTCTCACATGTTATTTACGCATAAAAACATACGTCAGTAAACGCCGTGTATACAAAAGTGATGATTGAATTTAGATATGTATTTTTTGATTAATTAACATGCCTTTTAATTTTTTTTTTCATCGATGATTTTAATGAACTTGATCGCATTGTGAGTCCCTAATTAATGATGATCGAAGGACAATGAGACGAGATTTAATCTTCATACTTCTTTTTTTGACACAACATAACTGACATTTATAAAAGTTTTAATTAATTCTAGGTCAATACCATAATAGTTCCTCTTCTTATTCCTTCATCTTTAATAATAGACTTTTGTAAAGAATTTAAAAAAAAGTTGCAAAAAAATCATGTTTACGAGACATTCATTTGCACAAAAATTATAATGAAATGAGATTCATGAATAATAAAGTAATTGAACAATTGTCGACGAGAGTGGGTACAAGTGGATGGTGCAAGAGAGTCATTTATACATATTTATGAATTCAACTCTGTCATGATATTAACCATGATCACAATGAGTACAATTGCAGCTAAAAGGTGTAATCAAGCAACAAGTAGTAACAAAATTCAATTTTAGTACT